CAATTAAGTCAAACTATTTCAAGCAAAAAGTATACACTGATATTGGCCAAATAGACTTAAATGTAATTTAATAGCACAAAAATGCTTCAAGTATTTTAATGAAACGTTTGTTCACAATCAATTATAACCTTAAGTTAAATTCATAAAATGAAAACAAAGTAACCGTCTGTCATCTCGCAATAGACAGTGACCAGTAGATATACATAGATGATAGAAAGCAATATACCTGAACAGCGTCATCTAGTGTTATTAAACTGCACTTATCATTGAAATTTTATCGTTGACAGTCCCGTCGAATTATCAAAATGACTGTTTCCCCATGTGCTTATAATATCAGAGAAAGATAAAAAAATAAAAATTCACACATAAAAATAAAAAATTATTGAACAAAACAATGTTTAAGTTATCGTTGTAAGGTGGCTATTTTTCAAAATTATCGCATCAATCATTCAATTTGACTATCGTTCTTCTTAATGAACTTTTTTAGTTTAATTTATCAATTTTTATTCCTAATCTTTGAATTTTTGATATCAAATGCATCTAGGTAAACATTTATTTTGAAGATAAAATTACAATTAAAAGTGTTCAAATCAACAATAAGATGACGCTATTAAAGTATAGAGGCCTCTTAACGTCGTGTCACATTACATTTACAACAACGCGCATACCGTCGTCGTCATTGTTAGCCGTCAGGCCACGTGTAAATCGAACATAACCCGCGATTCGCTGTATACCCGTGTTTCGTAAATTCTGTACCATGTTTCGTAAATTAAATCATCTTTTTTGACGTTTTCATAAGATACAAAAAGAAAAGATTAAAAATGACCAAAGACGATTCATTGCCTCACGTGTATCTTCACGTCCCGCCCAAAAAGACGGGTGATAAGTTCAAAAGAATCTTACGTCCAGCGAAAGAAATCAAAGCTTTCAAATATGAAGCATACAGAAAAAACCCAAATTTATATCAGGACTCGCATTTCCGAGTGAGGCTTGAAGAGACAGACAAACACAAAACGAAATGCTATGTATTAATAGCTGCAGGTTTGTTATTTTATGAGTTATTAATATTAACACATATTAGCTGCTTTATCTCCTGACATAATGTATTATTAAAATCATATAATTTTAATATTTTGACATGTTATTTGATTCTTTTTCAGATACTAAGAAGAAACTTGAACGTGACATAAAGATGAAATCAAGATTTCGCATTCCTACTAATACTAATTCAATGCTTGAGGAAACTAACGATGAAGGCATTACAAATGAGCAACTATCAAAGGAAAATCCTGTACTAAATGAAAATTTAAAACGAAGAAGCCAGGATACTGAAGATATTAACTCATTGGTCAATGAAGAATCTATTGAAACAGAAGAAGAAGATGCTGATACTGTTACCCAAGCCAAACGCAGCAGAAAGGAAGCTAAAAAAATGAAAACTTATCAAAAATCATTCCACGAAAACAGTATTTTGTCAAATTACATGGAACAGAATGATACTGATGATGTCAGTACGCGGGTCACATATAATGAACCTGGTGAATTAAGTTTGTTGGCTACAGCTAAACAAAATAAACACAGTAACGATAGCGATAAGCAGCATCCAAATAATTATGAACAGACAGATTCAAGTTTGTTGGCTTGTACGTCTAGATCAAATAAACAAAGAAAGGTAAGTTTACACAAAATAAACATAAGATATTATGCCTGTCTATTCGCAGACTTAATTAAATAGCCAAAAATATTAGTGTTCTGTGTTCATGAACTTGTAGGGGAAGGTGGGGTAAACTTCTGTCAACTGCAGGCGAGCGTTTCCAGTTTATGTTTTAGCTTTGTTTACAGTTTGCATTGACTTGACAAACTGCATAATCTTATATTTTGAATGATATCTTATGGATGAAAATGAATAGGCGTAAGCTAAATATGATGTTAAAGGTTAAATAAAACAAATAATGTAATATAAAATAGTTAACATTCATTTAATCAAATTTAAGTGAAAATAATAGGAAGTTATGATACATCAATATTATGATAGTTATCTATTTCCACTGGAGCTTGATAAATTACCACAACAGGTAATTATTCTGTTTCTGATTGTGCAGTTGGAGTTACGCCTTAAACTGAAGCTGATAGTGAGTTAGTTAGTGACTTAGGTACTGCATCAGTTTGTTTTTGTATTAAGTTAAATTTTGAGCCTGCATTTATGCCACCTCAGACAAAATTTAACTTAGTACAAAAACAAACTGTTGCAGTAACTAAATCACTAACTTACTATCAGCTGCAGTTTAAGGCGTAACTCCAACTGCACAATCAGAAACAGAATCATTACCTGTTTTGGTAATTTATCAAGCTCCAGTGGAAATAGATAACTGTCATAATTTCAATGTATCATAACTCCCTATTATTTTCACTTAAATTTGATGAAATGAATGTTTAACTATTTTATATTAAATTATTTGTTTTATTTAACCTTTAACATCATATTTAGTTTACGCCTATTCATTTTCATTCTTAAGATATCATTCAAAATATAAGATTATGCAGTTTGTCAAGTCAATGCAAACTGTAAACAAAGCTAAAACATAAACTGGAAACGCTCGCCTGCAGTTGACAGAAGTTCGTTCGCATGTGATACTCGTGCCCCACTGTCCTGCCACTCTTACCCACCTATGGGGCATGCAAAAATGGCTTATCTTGGACTGTTAATAGACAGACTTAGTGATTAAAAACCATAATAGTAATTTTAATTCTTCCTAAATGTATTATTTATTGTAATTAACTTATTTTATAGAACCATAAAAGTTTGAATACATCTGGAATCAGTGATGAAGCCAATTTGATAATTAATGAATTGCGAATGCAATTTGAGGATGCTAGAAAAACTCAGATAGAAATGGCAGAAAAAATTGTTGAATTAGAAAATAGACCTGAGGGTGCAGAAGTATCACCAAGAAATTCATCAACTTCGTCATCAAGTATGTATTAAATCAATTGCTGTATTAAATTATTTTTAATAAGATAATTCATATAATAACTATGTACAACTATTACAACCCCACAATTACAACTGCACAAGCATTTTGCCAATCATTGCTTGTAAACTGACGACCGGAATCTGTAATAATTTCGCGTGGGTATCCCCACCGAGGAAAAACTTCACAGTCCAAAATAGAGATGATAGTCTTGGCCGATGACTCTGGTATAGCGAAAGCTTCAATCCATTTTGTAAAACAATCTGTGACGACTAACAAATACCGTTTTTTCCTTGGAGTCACTGGATAAGGACCCATGAGATCTAAGGCAATGCTTTCCCAAGGTTTACTAGGAGTTCTCGTACGACACCTAACCTTCTTTGGAACGGCTTTCTTCGAGCATGCGCACACATGACAACGCTGCACATATTCTCTAATCTCTCGTGTCATACGCGGCCAGAAATGATTCTTTCTTACAGCACGAAGAGTTTCTTCATAACCTGGATGACCCGACGTCTTTGTATCATGAGACTCACGAATTACTTCGCCAGCTATACTTGATGGTACAACTATCTTGAATTTCCCATCGTAAGGTGTCTTAATCCACAAGGATCCATCCAATACATCGTAGCTCTCCATGAATTTTTTATTCTCATTTGTTAAGTATTCCTCAGGTAATAAAACTAATCGAAGAAACTCCTTCGTCTGCCAGCTAATCCTCTTGTCTGATTGCTGTGCAATTCGTATTTTGTCGAACAACGATGTGATCTCAGTTATATAAGCTAATGGTGTGTCTATGGGCGGAAGTAAACGATCCTCATCTGGTAGACAAAATTGTTCTTCTTTCTTATCTTCTGGATTTCGAGAAAGCATATCTGGTAACTCATTTGATTTTCCTGGACAATGAATCACGGTAAATGAAAACTCTTGCAAAAGTAAAGCCCATCTTGCTAACTTGTCTCTGGTATCTTTGAACTTATTCAACCATGTTAACACTTTACTGTCAGTGTAAAGCGTAAATGGCCTATCTTCGAGATATGGACGAAAATGTCTAATCGCCCAAATAATCGCCAAACATTCTTGCTCGTTACAATGATAACGCTTCTCTGCTCCATTGAACTTCGCACTGGCATAGGAAATTATTCTTCACTGACCATCTTGCATTTGAAACAAAACAGCTCCCATGCCTTGTGCACTAGCATCTGTTTGCAAATGAAAAGCCAATTGAGGATGTGGACGAGACAAAGTAAGTGGTTTTTTAAATAGTCCTTTGACTTTTTTGAAGTGTTCATTACTGTCTTCACTCCAAAAGAAACTACGCCTTCCTTTGAGAAGATCTGACAAAGGTGCAATAGTAGTTGCTAGGTGCGGTACGTATTCTCGTACCCAATTACAAGCCCCTATAAAACTTTGCAACTCTTTTTTCGACTTTGGAGCTGAGGTCTGTAACAAAGAATTGAGACACGTGTCTCTAACTTCATTACCTGCGGAACTGACTTGGAAACCTAGATACTCCAATCGTGTCATACTAAAACAACACTTCTCCAGAGAACATGTCAAATTATAAGTATGTAGTCGCTCGAAAACTAATTGAAGATGACGAAGATGCTGGTCCCAATTATCTGAATAAATAATAATGTCGTCTAGATAGACAATAACGAAATCGTTAATGTAACCAGCCAAAACTTCTTGTGACATAAGTCTCTGAAATGTCCCTGCTGTCATGTATGTAAGATGAAAGATAAGCTAGCGTGCGTGAGAGTTCGAACGCCATCGCTCGCTCGTAAGCACTCACTCTGGCTTGGACCGCGACACAAGCAGCACGCGTCTCATTCGATATTGTATTTCATTTCTATTGTTAGAACTATTTAATAAATACTTGAACTTACAACTAATGTGTTGAATTATTAATCACAAATACATTACAACTGGCGACGAGGATAAAGCAGAGTGCGTGTACTTGTGCAAAACAATAATCGGAACGGATTAATTGTTGATTAATTGTCGACTCTGATAAATAGTGACAAAATGGAAGAACAAATCCAAGCTAAGATGGCCGAACTGGAAAAGATGCAACAGGCTCTCAATCAACAAAAGCTCCAAATGCAAGCAGAGTATAAGCGCATAACGGAGGAAAGAGAGAAAAACAACGCAGAGCTGTTGCAGAGATCACTCCAGGTAGCCCAGGCAACGAGGCCCGTCGTAACAGGTACGATCGGCTCAATGCAGCAATTCACCTTGAATGACGATTGGACGGTGTGGCATGAAAGGCTGGAGCAACATTTCATAGCGAATGACGTGCTAGACGGAAAAAAGGTCGCAGTGTTCATTACGCTACTTAGTGCAGAGGCATATACGTTGCTACGAGACTTATGCTCGCCCGATGCTCCCTCGAAGAAAACGATAGAACAGCTTGCAACAATCATGAAAGACCATCTTCAACCCAAGCCCAGCTGCATAACCGAACGCTACAAATTCAAGGAGAGACGACAACAAGCCGGTGAAAATGTAAAACAATACATCGCCAGCTTAAAAAAACTATCGATGCATTGTGAATTCGGCAACAATTTGGAAAACCAACTTCGAGACCAGTTCGTGTGGGGCCTTAAATGTGACGCAACGAAGAAACGGCTCCTCGGAGAAAGAGACCTCACATACCAAAAGGCCATGGAGACGGCAACAGCGCTAGAAGCTGCGACTCGCGACGTTGCAGAGATGCAAGGCTCCAGGAATTCGACCGACGCTGCGAACATCAGCTACATCGCAAAACGAAAAGGTAAACAAACTCCAAACTCGCGAAGCAAGGCCGCGATTAAATGCTATTGTTGTGGTAAACCGAACCACAAATCTTCGGAATGTCGTTTCAGAGAGTACGAGTGCGATGTATGTCATAAGAAAGGACACCTTAAGTCCGTATGTAAAAGTAAACATAACGCAAGCTCTTCCAAGTCAAAAAACGATAACGCATCAAAAATGTCGGGAAACAATTCTTCCACGAACGCTTGTAATTATATTGATAACACCGACGAATTGAACGAGCCATTCGAGAGAATGTTTTACTTAAGCGATACGTTAAACAAAATCGAGCCGTATACACTAAGAATGAATGTCGAAGCAAACGAGATTGAATTCGAAATAGATTCCGGGTCGCCAATCACCGCTATATCTGTTGGAAAACTAAAAGAGTACAAAAACTTATGCGAGTTAGATATTAAAACGCAAACCAGAAAATTTAAAAGTTATGTTGACAGCCCAATTATTCCGATTGGTACAATAAACGTACTTGTAGAGCACAATAAAGTAAAAAGAAATTTAAAATTGTATGTCATGCGCGGAAATAGTTTACCAATTATTGGTCGTGATTGGCTAACCGAATTTAACTTAATTGAACAAAGAAGCGATGGTAAAATTGTGATAAATTCAATCCACTGTATTTACGACGACATATACCGGGAGTTTAACGATGTATTTACTGATAAGATAGGAAAATATACAGGCGGCAAACTTACACTTCATTTAAAGCCAGACGCCAACCCAGTGTTTTGTAAGCCGCGACCGGTGCCGTACGCTATGAGAGAAAACGTGCTTAAAGAAATTCAAAGATTAACGCATGACGGCTTATTGACTCCGGTCAACAGTAGCGAATGGGCTACACCTATTGTACCTGTCGTCAAAAGCAACGGACAAATACGCATTTGCGGTGACTATAAGATCACGTTGAATCCGAACTTAATCGTGGATAAACATCCGATTCCGCGAATACCAGATTTGTTAACCAAATTAAACGGGGGAGTCATATTCTCGAAATTAGATCTATCACAAGCTTTTCAGCAAATCGAACTTGACGACGACTCAAGGGCGCTTACAACACTATCAACGCCCGCTGGGCTTATGTCAACGACACGACTCATGTACGGTGTAGCATCCGCCCCCGGACTATTTCAACGCGAAATGGAAAAAGTCTTGAACGGTATAAGCGACGTAGTATGTTTTTTTGACGATGTGTTGATTACTGGCGCGAACAAAGAAGCGCATGACAAAACTCTTATTGAAGTACTGACACGATTGCGAAAAAATAATTTGACCTTAAAAAAGGAAAAATGTAAACTTGGCGTCGATTCAATTGTATTCGTGGGATTTGTTATCGATAAAAACGGCATCAGAGCCGATGACAAAAAGGTCGAGGCAATTCGGAAACTACACCCACCGTCAAACGTTACGGAATTAAAATCATTTTTGGGTATGATCAATTATTTTTCTAAATTCATACAGAACTACGCGAGTTTAGTGAACCCTTTGTATGAACTTTTGAGGAAAGATACGCCATTTACGTGGACGCAAAAATGTGACGAGGCCTTCGAGGCTACAAAGAATATACTAGCATCCCGCACGGTACTGATGCACTACAGCCTGCAACTTCCGATTAAGCTTACATGTGATGCCTCACCGACGGGCGTAGGGGCGGTCTTGTCACACGTGCTCCCAAGCGGAGAGACCAAGCCAGTGTCGTACGCGTCGCGCGCGTTAAATAAAGCCGAACGGGGGTATTCACAACTCGACCGCGAAGCACTAGCAATATTTTTCGGAGTAAAAATCCACCATCAGTACCTGTACGGCCGAGAATTTATTTTAGAAACCGACCATAAACCCTTGACGTTCATCTTTGGCTCAAAAAAAGGGCTGCCGCAAATGGCGGCGAGTCGCTTACAGCGCTGGGCGGTTTTTCTTAGTGGCTATAATTTTGAAATCCGGCACGTGCGCGGAGCCGATAACGTCGTGGCAGACGGGTTGTCTCGCATAAACATGAATGAACTAACGGACAAAACGGTCTCCGAAGAATATTCATATTTAAATTACGTTGAAAATGAAACCAACACGATCGACGGAAAAATCGTGCGTCACGAGACTCGACTCGACCCTACATTGATTAAAGTTATGAAGCATTTGAACTTCGGGTGGCCCAGTCAAGTGGACCCAGAGTTGCTTCCTTACAAAAATAGATGTAACTCCTTAACGATCGAACAAGACTGTATAATGTTCGGGCACAGAATTGTAATTCCAAAAGCGCTGCGGGGGAAGGTACTTTCCGAATTGCATGCGGCCCACATGGGTATTGTACGCATGAAAGCGATAGCCCGATCTTTTGTATGGTGGCCGAACATAGACGCGGACATCGAGAATGTATCCAAATCATGTGCCCTTTGCGTCGAAAATGCTTGTAACCCCCCCCGCTCTCCACTTATAACATGGAATTGGCCAAACGGGCCAAATCACCGCATTCATGCAGACTTTCTAGGTCCAATCGAAAATAATATGTATTTAATTATCATCGACGCTTTTTCAAAGTGGGTCGACATGAAAAGAATGCCAAATATCAAAACGAGCGAAACAATAACTGCCTTCAAGCAGTATTTCAGTACCTGGGGCTTACCGATTATGTTAGTTACCGATAACGGTCCGTCATTTACGGCAAAACCGTTTGCGAACTTTTTGATCAACAATGGCATCAAACATGTATTAACTCCACCTTTTCATGCAGCCTCAAACGGCGCTGCCGAAAATGCGGTGCGTAGTTTTAAGACTAAATTTAAGTTACTTATGAAAGAGAGCGGCGATAAGGACGAAGCATTACTAAAGTACTTATTCTATTACCGCTCGTCGCCTCATTGTACGACGGGATGTTCACCAGCCGAGCTCCAATTTAATCGCTCCATGCGTACCAGACTGGACCTAATTCGTCCAGATATTCGCGAAAACGTCGAACGCCAACAGAGTCAACAAAAAAAATATTTTCATGGCAACCGACAAAAGCAATTCGAATTAGACGACATAGTCGCTGCAAAAGACTACCGAGATAATAATTGGAGGCCGGCTACGGTTGAAAATAGATTAGGTAATAATGTGTACGAAGTGCGAACCAACGACAATCGCATTTGGAAGCGACATATCGACCAATTATGTACAAGCGGCGTATACCCCTCTCAAACTATAATTAAGAACGAAAGCTCCAATGTTGAAAATACACCATGTACAAGTCCTCCAAAGTCACATCCTCCAGTAGAACTTAATAATAATAATAATAATAAATCGGATAAGTCGCCGGCCAAAGACCAAATTGTATCCACTGCGATTGACCAAACTGCGGTCACTTCTCCACCTATGAGCAACTCTCCAGTACCTCTGCGCAGGTCCACACGAGTAGCTAAACCGCAAAAAATATTGGACTACTCCGAGCTCTAATGCGATGTTCTGAATTAAGTCTGGAGGATTGTCATGTATGTAAGATGAAAGATAAGCTAGCGTGCGTGAGAGTTCGAAAGCCGTCGCTCGCTCGTAAGCACTCACTCTGGCTTGGACCGCGACACAAGCAGCACGCGTCTCATTCGATATTGTATTTCATTTCTATTGTTAGAACTATTTAATAAATACTTGAACTTACAACTAATGTGTTGAATTATTAATCACAAATACATTACACCTGCAGCTCCTTTTAATCCGAAAGGTAAAACCCGAAATTGATAAGTCCCTCCTGTCGGAGAACTGAAAGCTGTATATTTCTTCGAATGCTTATCCATAGGGATCTGCCAATAACCACTTTTCAAATCAAGGGTGCAAAAAATCGTCGCATTCCCTAAATCCTTCAAAGCATCAGTTATGCGAGGCATTTGTTGCGTGCTGTCTTCTGTCATTGAATTGAGTCGCCGATAATCGACACAAAATCGTAAACTTCCATTCTTCTTTTTAACCATAACTATCGGAGAACTGTACGGAGAATTGCATGGCTCGATAATTTCTGACTTTAACATGTCTTGTATCTGTTTATCAATCTCTTTTCGCTTCTCGTCGTTATAACGATATGGAGCTAAACGGAACGGCTTGTCATTCACAAGTTTAATCATGTGTTTAGTAGACTTAGTCTGTCTTAAACTTTCTTGAAAAATGTCCAATGACTCCTGATGATTACTTAAAAGCTGTTGAAAATTCTGTACATATCTGGCAGGAAACTCGTGCTTTATTTTGTCCAATTCAATTACATTATTATTCGTAAAAGTTGTATTTTCCGCGAATGGAACTGTAACACGCTCATCTTTTCCAATGAACATTATCTTTTTAGAGATATCGATAACCGCACCTTCCTTCGACAACCAATCGTATCCGAGCAAATATGAATGACGTAAAGTTGGAGAAATAAAAAACTGAGTCGAAAACTCTTTATCTTGTAAACAAAAATTCAAATAGACTGTCCCAACTATTTCCATGTAACTGTCCTTGTCAGCTAACTGTGCCAAAATCTTTGTTGACTGTAAAACGTGGTTTGATGAAAGAATTGACGGAGAGATGAAATTTTTGGAAGCTGCCGTATCTACTACTGCATGAAAAACATAATTATCGATAGTGACTTTGACTTTTGGAATGGTATTAAAACGAAACTGAGCATGACTGACTTCTGGTTTACTAAATCGTCCTTCTGCTCTCCGGGCTTTTAAAACTTCGCAATCGCGATGAAAATGATATGCTGGACAATAATAACACTTCGGAAGTGATGGCGATTCAGATGAACTTGTAGTCTTGGATTTATCCTCCTTAAAAATTCTTCTTTTTGGACTATTAATGCGTCGTTCTTCTTCTTCGTCCTTCTCAATCTCAATTGATTTTTGTAATAAATCAGAAAAATCAATAATATGTGTGGCTCGTAGACACTTTCGTAACGACGGGCGGATCAAATTAACCAACGTCGTCACCTTACTTTGCTCTGAGTCGTTAGGTTGGACTCTCTGATACAACATATATTTCTGTTGTAAAAACGTAGAAACTTGTTCACGTTCTCCTTGACTGTGGCCAAAAAGTTTCGCAAGTAAAGAACTCTTAATGGCAGGAGAATCAAAACGATCGATAAAAAGCTCTGTGAATCTGTCCCATTCAATTCCAATATTTTGATAACAGCGCCACCAACTTTCCGCGCCATCTCTTAAACCTTTCTTAATCGTTCTGACACGTTGATGATCAGGTAAATCGAAAGCTGCTAAATATTCCTCGCATCGAACGAGGAACTGTCGTGGATCTTCATGATCCAAACCTCTGTACTCAGGTAATGTTGGTTGATAACCAAAAAGCGCTTGAGAAAAAGCTTCCCAACTTCTCATAGTTGGCGGAAAACGATCTGCTGCTCCATTAACTTGTGCCTGTGGATGTCCAATATGGTTAAGAATTGCTGGATTAACTATATTATCTGGTAATGCTGGTCGTTGATCATGAAAAAATGCCGCTGGTGGTGGAGCTACTGCCGGTCGCTCAGCGGGCTGTACAATGTGTTGTACGACAGGTTGCGCATCTTCATCGACGTGAACCGCCGGTTCATGCTGCGCATTATTGGCCATATTCGCAGATCTGGAACGTGTGACTGGCGGAGATCGTTGAACGGACATGAATGTAAAACAGCAGTTTTACGAGGGCAAGGTCGCCAAATTATTACCGTAAGGCAATAAATAATTAGAAATGTGTGGTGAGGAACGGGAGAACAATGAGAATAGTTATTATTAGTCTCTTTTTGAGTCCTAAAAAGGACTGATTGTTCTCTTGAGTGCTTTGACTAGAAGTACGGATGCTCGGGATCGTATTCTAGTTCTGGCATGGAGGGCGCTGTTGGCCTTGGCTTAAGAAAGTCTCGTGCCCAACGTGGAAGCGGAAGATGCAGAATTGACCTAGATGTCGTTGTGGTCGGCGGTGATGATCGGGGATCGACGAGGTCTGACTCTTCCTCCTTAGGTGTTTCTTCGAGTTTCTCCGCAAACTCCTTCTCGATCTCCTCCCCGATCTTCTTCTCGAGCTCTCGTTTACGAGCCCGAGATCTCCGCTGATATATCCGCCTTCGTTCCTTCTGCTGCACGGTCTTGGGCATGAGTCGAAATTACCTCTCTTTAGAAGTGCTTTTGATCGCTACCTTCTGTAGAATGATAATTCGACGGTAACCAATCAGTGAGAGAAGCAGTTGCAATAAACTCTGCTAGTCTCGTTGAAAGGTAGAAACTATTAGCCAATCAGTGATAGAAGCAAAAGCAATGATCCTTTGCTAGTCTCGTTGAAAGGCTCTCGTATTTATCAATCAATGAAAAATAACAAGTTAGTTCAACCCGGAACATGTCAGAGCTTTATTCGACCCGACTCTTAACGATTCTCAGCCATAGTTTGTTTATACACCGCGACTTATTGTGTACGTGCCACCTAGCGGAAAGTTATGAACTAACATGTTGTTGGCTTAAATAAACAATTGAACGTAACACTATATTATTATTTCAGATTCAGATACTTTGTCGACAGGGACAAATTGGCTGTCCTGATGAATTCATCGTTCATGATAAAATCTATAGATATACATCTGAACAAAATGAGAAAGAACTAAAATATGATGATGATGGAAATGTAATGATTGGTCTCAATGTTCGATGCAATCCTACTGCTTATAATGATGCATTTAAAAAAATAGCTCCTACACAGTGTCTTAATTTGATCAGCCAAGGGGTGTTTGGACTGACCAGATTATCAAAAATGTGCGTGAGAAAGCAGAGTTACACTATAGGTAAAGAAGTATACCCAGCTACAGAAAGAATTGCTATTGAGCAAAAAGTGTATGCTTATATGAGAGGAAAACATTTCACACTTGCGCAGATTAATCAATTTTTTAACAAGATAAATGATCATCATGCCCATTCAATTTATAATGCAAAAAAACGCTTAGAGCATCAAAGGAAAATGGAAGAAAAAGAAGCAGCGATAGACAAAGACTTACAAGGCTTTCCTGCTCAAGAAGAACCTTAAATATGATGTTAAAGATTTTGATAAGATCAAGCTATGTTTGTTTTAGCTTTTAATAATACTTAAGTGTTTTATTGTTCTATGTTTTATCAAGATTAGGATATCTAGACTTAAATTTATGTGCAATCAAAAGAATTATCTTTCTTTATATTGCCATTTGTTACCAAAGATGACTAGACTTAAATTTATGTGCAATCAAAATAATTTTCTTTCTTGATATTGCCATTTGTTACCAAAGATGATGATTAATAAAGCATATTTGACTGATAAAAATCTGTATTTTTGTTAATTGTGAAATATTTATAATCCAAATACACCCTTAATAAATAAAAAATCAATTCATTAATAACAGAAAAAAAATAATAAAACAATACAAAACACAAAATTTCAAATTTAACAAAACACGTTCATAAGTATGGTTCACGTTATTCATAAATGGGTCTTATTAAAAATATGAAAATAAAGCATTGATAAGCTTTTCTTTCACAAAGCAAAATACAACTTTTTTTAAAATTTGGTTATCTGTTGCCCAGTAGAAAAGATTTACACAGCTTTCAAAGAACCAAAAACATGTTTTTTCCTTATTTTCATGAATATCTAATTCTAATAAAATATAAATAATGACCAGCTACCTTGTAGCCTTAATACATAGACGAGGAGTCAACCAACAGAAATCATAAAAATTTTATTTTAATTTGTATATCTGGTATATTATGCCAATTTTGGTTTTTTCTTACTAAATCATTTTCTCAATGCAATATATTGATATTTATACTATATTATCATGAAAATACGAAAAAAACATGTTTTTGACACACAAAAAATGAACTTTTATAAACTGTTATAAACTTTTATCATCTTTTCTAAAGTTTTATAAACTTTTATTAACTTTTATACACAAATTATAAATTTTGATAGAATTTTAGATTATTTTAGCACCATGAAACCAAAAATTGAAAAAAACTATAAACTTTTTTAAACTTTTATAAACTACTATTAAAATTTTTTAACTTTTATTAGAGTCCAAAATGAGCATGTTATTAGTAGAATATAAAAGTTTATAAAAGTTGGTAAAATTTTGTAGGTTTTTTAGCAGAAACGATTTTCGTTAGGGAAGTATAAAATAAGTATATCTAACATAATATGGATGAGAATATAATAAATACCGTCCGTTCATGTTATCATTTTAATGTCGCAAAAAATGCTACTAAGAAACTGAATAAAAGAAAAATTAATTCAGATTACTATGCGTCAAATAGAGATGCAATTTTAGCAAAAAAGAAGTCTCGAAAAATTGAGAAAAAAATGGAACTTAAAAGTGTGAAGAAAAAAAACGTCAGCAATAATGACCATGGTAACGCCAATAAAAGAAAATCTAATAAACGAATTTTATCAAATGCATGCTACTACCAAAAAAATAAAGATAC